TAGTGTCCCAGTATTCATCTTCGATGTCTTCCGCTGTTCTGGTGGCTTCGACGACCTGCTTGGCTAAGGCCAGCTCGCGGCGCACCTGAGGGTTGTATTTAGGGAACAGAATGGTGGTCGCTCCGCCGGTCGTGTTATCGCCACGAGAACGGTAGGAGCGTGCAGTGACATACCCGTCATCCTCTTCGTTCTCGTCATCTTCCTCATCCCAGTACTCCTCCGGCTCCGACTGGGCTAGATGAGCACTTGAGGCAGATTCGCGGTGGGCCTTTGGGAGGTCGTCAACTTCGTTGGTGTTTGCGCAGCGTTCATGCAACTGCTCAATGACCTGCACCTTGCAATTGTCGTCATCAGCCTTGTATAAGTCTCTATTGGCCCCGTCGATGTCGTCAGAGTTCACAATGGAGTATTCCTCTGTGTCGTCTGATTGTATCTTCGAATCCTGTTTCAACCGAGCATCGTCTTTGGTGATGCCCTGCTCTGTGGCCGGCAATGAGGTAGCGGTACCCTTGTTCTCGTCTGTCACTTCAGTGACGTTTTCCTTGGATGCAGATTTCTTAGTTTCGGCCAATGGTTCTAGGGTGTCTTTGAAGACTGTGTTGCGCTTGTTCAGCGGCTTCCGGGTATTGGGAGCGTGCTGGGTAATACCCGTCTGCTTGGCAGAGGGCTCAAGAGGCTTTGGGTTGGAGGCATTGTTCACCAAACCCTTCAGAGTAGTCATCGACATGGGACGCTGAGCAGGTTGCGAGAGAATGGTCGTTCTTCTGGCTGGGACAACTGCGGGCGCCTTCTCCACGACTTTGAGTTGTTTCTTCCCCGCAAGGGAGGCATCATCTTGACTTCCTTTGACGAGATTAGCAGTGTTGCTGACGTCGCCAAATGCAGCCCTTCTAAGACCGTTTTTAGTCGTGCCATTGTGAAAGGCCGCAGATAAGGCGGGAGTGGACTTGTTTTGATGGTGGATCGTTTTGTTGCCAGGCAGGGCGACGGGAGCATTCTCGTCCGTACGGACGCGAATTCGTTGGGGCTGTAGACAATCAGAACCCGTCAGCATGCACAACGTATTTCTCAAGAGGGCTTAGAAGTCGTTGTCGCGTGTCGAGTCTCGCCATCAGGTCTGCAAAACAGTACCTTTCGTAGTGGTGGACAAGAAGCTATTTATGGACAACCAAAGAGATTCTGACGTACCTTTGCATCCATCTCTGATCGCTACAACTCTATCCAGGAAAGGATATACGATCCTTCACCAGACTATGTAGTGTCGTGGTTGTTTGGGACGTTGAAGTCGCTTGTTTACCTTTTTCCCTTGTCGCTGAGCAGTAGTCGAAGTACTAAATTATAGCGGAAGTACTAAAGCGCCTTCGTCCCAAACAAACAACAAACCGCGCCTTAAGATTTGAGGACAAACTTGACCATAAGGGATACCTGAAAGAAAGTTTGAAACTGAGCTGAGACGAAGGGATCAAGAAGAAAAATCAAAACAAAGACCCCAAAGGATTGCGAGGGAGGAGGGAGTCAGCCTTTACTGTAAGCACCTTCTACAGGATACCTTACTGCTGCAGTAACCGTACCTTACCTAAGGCCTGCCTTACTCACATTTGTCGGTGGACAATAAACAACAACCTTACACGGAGGGGCTAAACTAGCCTAGGTTTAGCTCGGTAACCTCGTTGCTGCGGCATGCTTATGTCAGATGACTTTATTGTGGCTTCTCCTATTCCGTTCTGTTTGCACTGTTTGTGATCACTTGGGTCTTTTCTACGCTCCAATGACATCATGCGACACGTCCCCCCGTCAACCCTCCTCCTCACAATGATAGCCACAAATCCGACAACTACAAGAAGAACACAGGTCCTGATTAATTTTTATATCCTTTGAAATAAAGCGACATGTTCTCTTACATGTCCTGTCGACTAAATTCCATTGTTGGTGCAGAATGAGTAGCAGATTACCGCAAGCCTACCAACGCGCCAGCAGACACGAAATCCTCGGCTGCTGAACGCGAAGTCACATGATCCCACATCTCCAATGTCCGCACTGGGATTCGGCACTCGTCACCAGGTTGTAGGACAAAGAAACTGCCCATTGGGGCTGAAATAGAATTGGAAGCTCAGACTCGACAGCTGCGATCAGATCTATCGCCATATTCATGACCCGTTCATCATCAGCAAGTTTTAATCCAAGCTGCGCCGTAGAGAGCCAATGAGTCCATTATCTGTAGCTGAGCTTGAAATGGACCTGGGGTTAGTTCATCGACGGATCATTGAGATGATCTTCGATGTTTTCTTTCGAGTTGTAAAGATCCTTCTTGGGCTCTCTTGGCCGTTCTCTTGTTCAGTTGTCCTCGCCGTTTGCACCCGTTCCAAAAGCCACCGACTCCTCCTCAAATGTGGGACGCGGATCCGGCGGTACCTATCATGAACAAGCGGGATTGGCAGCTTTTTCTACCTAGGTACCTGTCAAGCGCACTCTGAAGCAGACAATGCGAAACTCTCAATCAGCTAGATTTAAAGTGCACCCAGTAGTGAGAAAATTAGAATCGCGAGCGCAAAGCGATTCTCTATGAAGCTACATGCAGGCTTGCAAACTCGTCGTGGCGGGATGCGAGTCCAATTGCAAACGAGAGCCGGATGGCGAACAAGGTGGAAACAATAATAGTAATGCGCAAACTTTCGGTGTGCCCTTGGACTCGCGACTTGACAATAGAAATCAATAATCACCCACACCATTGAAAACCCCGCTTTGGCTGTCGAAACGACGATTTTGGAAGAGACGTCTGTCTTTTCGCTGTCATTTCGATTTCCAGAAGCTCTCGCAAGGGACTTCCAGGTAGACATCTGATAGATCGGCTACATATGATCTGGATGCTCGATGCTCAACAATCCGGTTCTTGCAAGCACCCTGCTGCCACCAGCATCATTCTACGCCAAAAAAAAAAAAATACCTAATTCTTTTTGTCGCATTCGCTCATGAAACCAATTTACCGCAAAAAGGAAGTATCCCGCCATGATTCAGTAGTTATCCTACCCAAATCCAGTGAGCTCGTGGCCAAATCCTACGAGGACCTTGGGAAGACCATGATTTCCGTAGGCGCAACAATTCGCAAAGCTCAACAACACAATAAATGGTCATAGATGAATAACTCGTTCCAAACTTGCTTGTGCTTGACGGATTGGATGGAGTGCGGTGATTGTTGCAATGATCCTCCATCCTTACGTAGCCCACTCTGGCAATGACTCTGTTCCGAGGAGGGGTAGAGAGAAGTCTGGACAAGCGCAGATCATGAAACGAGGCAACAATTGGGCCTTGTCGCTTGCTTGGCTGTGGTGGCTACCCTTGTCGCAGTCATCATCACTTAGTTAGACTAGATAGTGACTGAAAGAAAGAACCGGGCTCTTACCCTTGACTTGCGTCCTTTCTCTCGCCTCTTCTGCTACGAACAGATAAATGCAGATCGATCCATGCGCTATCCCCATCGGAGCATCGATAGAGTCGTCCGATGCTCATAAGGGAACATCAAGCGCTTCAGCGCTTGAGACCGAAATGGTCAATTATCTTATAGTTTCAAGCCGAAGATATTCACAAGGTTGAATAAATGTCATATAGACAGAATGATAGGCCCCTCCGTGTGAATCCGTCTGGTGATAACTTATCCTGAGCTGTCCTATTTCGCTCACAAGCACCGACCGGTGCTTTTCTATTTACCAGTCAGATCGCCATGCCGGAAAGATACTCCCCTTCTCCTCAATCAATAGTAGTTGGACAGGATGGGGGGAGCTTCTGGGTGTCATTCGACGTGGCCGTGGTGAGGATGTGCCGGCCAACGAATCGACAGCCACTCAGATGGATCCCCTCCGTCTTGTTCCTTTCTGCTCACCCCATAAATCCAACCAGTCATGCAAAGGATTGAAAGGACAATGAAAGATTTAACTGTCGAGAAGAACTGTGGATGACACTGAGTCGGTAGGAGAGAGTGCGACTGAAAGTCAGATACCTTGGTCGCTTCTTTTGCGCCAGTATCCGATTTCGAGGCGAATCCATCAGTCCGACTCTATCGTCATGGTCAATGCTGGGCAACAACATCGAATTTTGTGCATTTGACCCTCTACATATTATCATTGAAAGGTAGCGACTCGTAAATAGCCATATCTATAGTATTATATCTTTCGCATTAACTTTCTGATAATAGACGGTCTTGCGCATCCAGTTTGCGACCAACAACCCACAGCGCAATGCGACTCAAAATAAGAGCATATGAAATAACAGAATAGGTTTCAATGGATGACAGAAATAGTTTCGCATGTAAAATCATCAATTAGATTCATCCTCCATGGCATTCTTGTATTAAATTCGTGGATTACCGGCGAACGCAGGTCACCGACCCCAATGCCCATTTTCGCTTTAGGTGAAACCATCGTACACTCGCACCCACTTCTTCTCTCTCTTCTCTTCAACCGCTGATCTCGAAACCCAACCAGTTCACTCAACTTCGTTCGATACTTGCTTTCGATCCATCTATAGGTTTACAGGTGAGTCCCGATCTTCATCGTCTACTTTGAGTGTTATTTGCAATCATTCCGTTCCTCCCATTATCCGACTCTTCCTCTCCTGATTCATCAACCTGTCGGATGCCACCGCTGACATACAGCCCAAGCGCTTCTTTGTAGACGACTCATCCACCATCCATCTACTGCGACATTCGACTACAGCCATCGCCTTCATCGTTCGTTGCCTCTAGGACCGCTAGATGTGTGCGATCCTCGATGAATAAGTTTGACTCGTGATAGGTGTGTCATTGATGCTGTCCATCCTCTGCCGAGAGACCCTGGGCTTCTTCCCTCTCCTCCAAGTCTGCACTCATCAAGATTCGAACTAGAACTGGGTACCGCTAAAATTTCAAGCGAATGCCTTCTTCAGTCATTTCATAATTTTTCTTGATGGCTTCTTTTGAGTGAATTGTGCTGACCCATATGGTGTGTTTCCTTCAGGTTCTCAACCGGTTTTTCCCTTTTCCAGTCGCTCTCGGCTCTTGCGACTGAGGCCCCCTCACCTCCATCCAACCACGATACCCTTCGCCATCAATCATAGCGGTACAACGATCGCGGGTGATCTATCTTCTAAATAAACCCTTCTGGTTCCTTCATCGTGGTAGGTTTGGACGGAATTTGCCCATACTCTCGTCTCCTTCCTCCTGCCTTTCTCTGCCCCCACTACCTCACCATCTGGACGGGCCCTCCCACCTCAGATCGAACAGCCGATTGATATAAGTCTCTCGATGTAGCAATAGGGTGGTACCTGTTCTCCCTACATCATGCAGACTGCCTATCACGGACAGTCCTCGCCTCATGGGGAGCCCTCCGCCTATACCGAACATATGGCCCAGGACCAGACCCACAAAGCCCCCATCCCCAAGAACGTCGCCTTTGAGCTTTTGCTTGACGAAAATTCCAAAGTGCGAGCTCGGATACCCATGAGGGTACAGATATATCCTCATGATACGACGGATTCAATCGTGACTACAGTCAAGAATTTCTATGGCATCTATGACGGTGCCGCCAGTGGTGTCAGTTTTGAGGATGAAAATGGCATCACCCTCATCGCAAGGTATGAAAATCTACGGAATAACATGACCGTCTATGTGCGGGTGATTCCCGTTCAAGCATACTCGGAAGGCTACGTGGATCGCTATTATGGCATCCCAGTAGAGGGTCGCAAACGTCCCAGTCTTGGCGAGCCTTTCCAGATGGGGCCGGCTATGCAGCCGGCGCAGGTCTTGGAGCATAATCAACCGCCATCCAGGCCTACCTCCAGGCTTGCTCGCAAGCGCAGCATGTCACCTTCCGGTAGAAGCCGTCGGAGCGCCTCTCAGAACAAGCAGCTCTCCAGAGCTGGCAACAAGAGCAGGGGTTCCAGCACTCATGGCAGCTTTCATGATGACGGAGCCTCCGGCTACAGTGACAGCGAAGGCGGCTATGGCTCCGTCTCTGGTACGAAGAAAGCCCGCAGCGAGCAGTTTGGTAGCTCAGATATTAGCATGGAAAATATACTCCATGACGGTCGCCGGAAGCGACCCAAATTTGAAAGCTCGGTAAGACAGCTGAAAATGCCTGCTTCTTGACTTTCTCTTGCCAATGCGACCACACTTGCTAACTCAATCTTTTCTTCTCAGGAATTGCCTTTGTTTGTTCCTCCTCAGGTCCCTCTGACAACCTCCACCTCATCGATCTCTCCCCAACGTCGATCAGTCGGCCAAGAAGGGGCAATCTCGCCATTCGCTCGGCCCAACCAACGTCCCTACAATCAACAACAGCCACTGCCATCTCCACAAAGCTATGGCCACACTGAGCAGACATATACAATGAGTACCGCTCAAACCCCCATCTACGCCACTCCGGCGATGCCTGACCATGGTCATCGTCTGCGCGATCGCGCTACCGCACAGTCGTCTGGACAGTACAGCAACGCCGCCGGCCGGTATAATGGTCCAGGTGTCCTTCCAACTCCTGATCCCACCATTGCTAGCTGCATATCTGATGAGGATGTTGCAATGCAGCTGATCCGGCTGGGAGACGCTTCGAATTTTTCTCATGGTCGAACTTCGGCGTCTACATTGGACGATGCCTTCAGCGGTGCTGCTGACGCTGCTTCCTCCACTGGTGCCACAAGCGATGGTGAAGACTACAGTGAGGATGACGATGATTTGCCGGCGCGATCTAGACAGAAGCTCGATTCGAGCCCAATGCTTCCCCCTGGCACTACTAAACGCACTCACAAGCGCCTTGACGATATCCTGCCCAGTTTCGACAGCTCCGACGGCAGCTACGACGGTATGGACGAGGACTACCAACATGAAGAGCTTAATGACAGTCTAGTCAAGAGCGAGCTCGACGAAGATTCGCTCTACAGAGAGTCTACTCCTAAGCCGAAGAAGGCTAAGACTCGCCCGACCAGTACGGCTTCCACCAAACCGCGTGTGTCCAAGACAGCGCCCCCGCGCCAGGGCAAGAGTGGAAAAACTTCTTCGACCGCGGTGGCTCGTAAGGTCAAGTCGACGACCACTGTGGTGAGTCAGAAGGCTGCGCCACCGTCGCAGATCGTTAGCCCTACCCCTGCCCGCAAGGCCTCTACATCCTCCATCAACGGTCAAACTCAGCTTGCTGCGGACGAAGAGGACCTTTCAACCAAGCCACGCTGTCAGCGATGCCGCAAGAGCAAGAAGGGCTGTGATCGCCAGCGTCCATGTGGTCGGTGCAAGGATGCCGGTATTGGTCTCGAAGGCTGCATTAGTGAAGACGAGGGAAACGGCCGCAAAGGTCGTTATGGTCGCCATATGGGCGTACCAGTTAAGAAAGCCCCTGATGCGACCCCCGCAAGCAACGAGCCCCAGTTGATCAGCACTACGGCTATGCCTTTCTCATCCGCTATAGCAGACAAGAACAAAAAGCGCAAGCGTTAGGGCATGTGTTCTTGCAATGCAATCACCGTCTTCATTCATGGCATCTCATTCTTTTCGGACCATCTGCATCTGTCTTAGACGGCAACAAAGCGCTTGGATGATGTTGCTCTCGACGTGCTATCTTCTGTGATCCCCTTCAACAAGAGGGTCTAACTCTCCCGTCCTTCATTCACCGACACCTTTCCGCTCCCTTATAACTTGAATCCCCCAATCCTTTACAGCAAATACGATACGAACACCTACATTCCAAGGCATATAGAACATCTCTCGAAAAGTGAATCACTGCGCGGACTCGGTACTGGATATTTAACCATTGACTTGACCACGGCTTTTTACCGTATCCGTGCTACGAGCGCTAGCGCTCCTTACGTTCTCTCCATCTCGCAGTCCGTGTCCTGTTGCCATCTGCGTTTTAAGTCTCTGCTGTTTATCATGGATAGTCTAGCGATTGAACTGAGCGGGTTGATTATCTTGCTTTGTTTTATCTTTTTGGCGTTCGTGTGCTTCATTCTACTGCAGACACCTTGGCTCAAGGGTTACCTCCACTCATTTATCTACACTGAAGTGCGTTCTGACAAGTTATGTCTGCTCAGTTTTTTTTTTATTTATTTCACCTGCCTTGCCGGATTTGAACTTCAGCTTGAGTGTGAGGTCTGGTGTCGTTGAGTAAGGAATATATATTGTTTGCTTTTAGACCTGATTCATGATAGCTTTAATTCGTAGGAGCAGCTTCGGAAACATCTTACTCTTATAATAGTCCTAACTATTCAGCCAGGAATATTTATCGTCAAAGAATCTTGCACTATATGCCTGATTATCAACATGCGTCAGTCCTCGTACAGATATAGTGGGTAGCTCATCTGATTCTCATATTGCCGTATTCGGACTAGTAATGGTTGTCAACTCCGCATACAAGCGCTAGACGCGCGCTTCTTTTTTTTCCCGCTCAAGACTGGGATCATTTTACTCATCTTCCAGACTCCACAAACAAGCTCGCCAGCGCGCTCATTTTCGCAGTTTCAACTTCTGAATTTATTTTCTTTATCGATATAATTCCTGTTACTAAGAAAAGTTCAGGGAGAATATCCGGATCCTTGTTTTGGTGCCTCATCGATGTACTGATTCCTCCGTTCTCTTCCCTCCGTCGAAGCACACAACCTCCTGCGCGCCAGATCCGCTGAGCAATCATGCCTCCCAAATCCGTCCGTCGAGGCGCAGCAGCAGCAGGGGGAGGAACAGCTTCGCGACAGACCACCGGCGAAGCCGCATCAAACACTCCTACTGGATCCGCCTCATCCACGCCCCCACCGTCCACAGCAGCGGGAACACCCTCCACACGAGCACCCGTGCAGCGCCTCCAGACTCTGAAAAAGCGCACGCCCTCCGGAAGTATCGGACCCGCCGCGAGAACTCCCGCCGCGGCGACAACGCCAGGAAATGGAGAGCCGGCGAAGCCGACACTGAAATACAAGCCGCGCGCTGTGGGACGGCGCAGCAAAGAAGAGCGAGATGCGATTGAGAAGCTTGAGGCGGAGCGGAATCGGGAGCGATTGGCGGAGGTGGCAGCCATGCGGCGGGGACGGGGAAATGCGCAGCGAGGCAGGGAGGTCCCGGGCGAGGACGCGGGGGCCTGGGGTCCGCTTGGAGGCGGGCGACGAGGCCGTGGTGGGCGGTTTGAACAGGATTCGCGAGCGTCGTCTATGTCGCGGAGTCGGTCGGTTATCGATATAACTAGTGGTTCCGCTAGTCGCCATGTATCCTCGGATGAGAGTGATACGGAGACTATACTCCCCATTGACCAGATCGAGGTCGATAGCGATGAGGAGTTGGGTGATGTCGCGGATAGTAAGAAGGGAAAGGTTCCCTTGCGGTACGCGAACCGCGAGAAGGGCCTGCGGCCCGTTCGTGTTGAGCGCCGTGAGCACGAGGAACGGGTGGTCAGTGTCAACATGGAGTCCAGCACGAGTAAACCCGCCGAAGCGGAAACCAAGGCTGAGGATGAAGTGGAGGAAGTTCGTGCGAAGAAGACAAGGCCCGAAGATGATTCCCTCTTCGTGCGGGATGACGACGTGATTGAGCCTCAGGTGAAAGAGGAACCTGTTGATGAAGACCAGACAATGACAGATGCCGTTCCCCATGTCGGTGAAGCAACGCACGATGATGGCTTTCTTCCAGCGCAAAAGGTCAAAGTCCGCAGACGACTAAGTCCCAAGACTCCCGAGCCGGAACCCGCACCCGCACCTGCACCTCCGTCGAAACCTGCTGTGGCAAGAGATCCGAGAAGCTTGCTGCGTACAAAGGAAGACATTGAAGAATATGAGAGACATGCCAAGGATCTCGAGGCCATTCTCGAACTTCTTTCCGTCGAGCCCAAAGAGTCCAGGGCAGAGCGATCGGAGGCGGCTGAAGCGGCGGAGGTCTCAACAGAAGCACCCGAAACGGCAGAGGGTGACAAAGAGAAAGAAGAGGAAGCCGAAGATGCCGAAGAGGACGATACCAAAGATAAACTGGCGGGCCAACTGTTCCTCATGCAGTTCCCTCCCATGACACCCAACCTTACCGTCCCCGGCACTGGCGGCGGCACGGAGGAAGCAGCTACAGAGGAGACACAGGCTGTCTCCGGGGCACACGACCAGGCGAAGCCGCCGTCAAGCTCGAGAGCGGCGAAGTAGAGATTCTGGACGGAGTGGACGGGACCACAAGCAAACAGCCATCGAAGATCGTCACCGCGGCGGACTGGCAGCTTCGCGCCGGAAGGGTCGGGAAGCTGAACGTTCACAAGTCGGGCAGAGTGACGATGGACTGGGGCGGGATCAGCTTCGAGCTCGACCGGGCTACATCGGTCGACTTCCTCCAGGAGGCTCTCATCGTCTCGGCGCCGGAAGAGGGCATCCCAGAGGAAGAGAACCGGGTATGGGCTATGGGGCAGCTCAGTGGCAAGTTTACTGTCACGCCTGACTGGGAGAAGATGCTTTAGATGGGGGTTTTGGCGCAACAAAAGCATGAGACACAGTCTGTGATTGGCATGGCTATGTCTACGAACATCATTGTCTTTTTGGGCGTGACTGTGTGCATAGGGTAGCGATTTTGGAACATGTACAATGCATGATTACGGCCTTTGGAGTTTCAAGAGCTTTAGCTAGACGTCGGAGGTTGTCAACGAGAGACTGAACCCGAAATCCTCTGCACCAGGACGTAGATGTGTATCAGGTAACTTAATCAGTAACCTTATTAGTCAGTCGAGTTGTATGTTCATTTTCACTAGGGCCGATTGGCTGGAGTCCGATTTACTTCGCTATCACAAGGACAATATGCATACCAATCATTGATATCGCCGGTCTATCGACCTTAATGACATTTTCATACTTCTGCTATTTATGGAAAGGTGGTAGTGATACGAAGGCAAGCGAACTTACTAGAATTAACCGGAAGTGTGACCATCTGCAGCCATGAAGATAGTTGCATACTTTATTCTTCTACCTGTAGTCCTGATAGGAAGCATGAATCAGCTAAACTTCTAGTATCTACCCCGCAAGCAATATTGTGGAATACAGTAGGATGTAGGTACCATCTTGCTTGCTTGCAGATATCTCTTGATGCTCAATTACGATTTATGATTTCTATATACGGCGAGATGACGGCAGATACATTATTACATCCCCCGGGCGTGGACTCTCTGGCAGCCCTGACTGGTCGCTTTTCTGCCTTGGCATGAAACCAATGGGGAATAGACCCGCAGCCACCGTCGCAGAAACTGACCCCTGCCCCACGCACCTTGATTGGCTGCAAATTGCTGATAAGCTTCACAAGTCTTGCACGAGGCAACGATCGGCTATTACTAGTCCCAGACCGTGCTGACACGGCTGATAGCAACCAATGGAAAACCAGGGAAATTGAAACCTCGCAGTGATCAACCCCACCTATCGACAACCCCACCCCCCCTTTTGAGTGAGCGTGCGTAAATGCTAATTTCGATTTTAATTAAAGGTGGATGGATATTGTTGGTTCTGGGCCTCTCATTTTTCATCTGGAGTGGTTTTAGTCTCGGCTCTAGTCCGCCTCCTGGACGACTGCTTGCTGCTCCTTTGTTTTCGCACGCTTCCTTGATCTTCTTCTCTTTCGTACCCTTCGTCAGTCTTCAGCTGTCTGATCTGCCTTCAGAAGTTCTGGTCCCTTGTGTGTGCGTCTTGGTTGGGATCTGTTGCTCTTCATTCGAGTGTCGTCCCTTTCACCTCACAGTCTCAGGTCCAAATCCTTCTCGGGTATCGTCCGTTCAGGAGACGCACAGTCGCTCGTTTAGTGCATAGTGTCCTCTGAGCTCTAGCCCGGAGCTCGACTCGCCCAGGCGTGAATCTCGACAACGACCTCGTTCACCAATCCAACCTGAGAATCGGTCCTGTTTTCCAGCCTTTTCAGCCGATCGTCACCGTTTGGACTTTCCGTATCCTGAAACAGCATCGACAGCAGGTCAGGAGGAGCGACTATCGCTAGACTTACCGAATATTCGACACCTGTGCGCTCAACCAACCCACTAAAAGTCAGAATCAATATGAAGATCTCCAACGTCGTCCTCTGTCTCATCCCGTCCGTGGCTCTGGCAGCCGAGTTCGAGCAAAAGCCTGCCGTTGCTCTCACATCCTCAGCAGATAACCTACCCTCCGCTTCTTCGCCGGAACTTACAACACCCTCGAGTATTGAAGACCGACGAATCTACGATCAGTTTGGGAATGATATTACTCCAAGTCCTGACTACCCTGCTGTGGTAGTCATCCCCAGTAAACAGAGGGTCCCAATGCCTGTCTTTGAAGGTCAACCATCTGAACCCGCCGACAGATCTATCGAACTGCGCTCATTGGAAGCGTCATCTGGATCGACCAAGTCGCTGAGAGCACGGAGTGAAGGCACACTCGGGCAAACACCTTGGATCGGTATGGCCATTGGGTTGACTTGTACGGCCTTGGCCGCGGTGATGCTTGGGTGACTGAATCAAAATCAACTATTACGGTTTCTTCTATACATACAGCGCCGACTTTTCTGCTTTGTGCTGGACATTATGAGCACTCCTGCATTATCGGAGTTTTGTTTTCTCCTTTCCCGGATCTGAGCTGTCCGATGATTTGGCTCGTTTGCTACAAGCGTCGCATACATTCGCCGCGGCCTGCGGGGAGCCTCCTTCAAAAACGAGGCGCACATCCGTGGCCAATGTTCTTGGTTTTTTTATATTCTCTTCTTTTTCACTTGCATTGACATACCCTCACTCGATATAGACTGGGTTGCCGACCTCATTGGCGGAACGTGTACATGATACCTTATATTGCTCTTCTTGTGGTTATATCCAGGCGTTTTCTCTTCTTTTATTTTCATGGATATCGATATGGCTGATTGCAGGTGTGAAGACGACCAATGATGTACCTACTACTACTACAACTACTTAATTCTGCCATCAAGGCATGATTACAACGATGATAGCTAATAATACTTGACATCTCGTCCAATCATTTCACTTGCCAAAACGGGAGGGTTCGGTTCTTTGTTTGCTTCATCATCCACAATACTAGAAGAGGCTGAGCTGCAGATCGACAACCGACCAGCCTTATCTCTTAACCTCGAACCGACAACTCTCCCCATCTACTCTTCAGCTATCGCGCCCAAATCGCCATCTCATAATTATAAACCCAAATAACAACAGGCCATCACCATAACAAACCCAGAACAAGACCCTCGTCCTCCCCAAAATGTCCACACCAAACAACACACCCCCTTACACACCCATGCCCTCCCTGGGCCACGAGCTAGGCGTTATGTTCGGCTTCATCGTCGCCTGCCTGCTAATCATGGCAGTGTACATCTATTTTTGGCGGGGTATGCCAATCAATCCCACCCACCGTCCCCACATTCCAATTCCATAGGACCATACCCCACGTGTGTGTTTCAAATCAGAAGGGAACCCGGCTAATGAGCAACAATGAAGCCGCGGACCGCCGCGACAAGCAGCGTGATAAAGATCGGCAGAGGGACCTTGCTCAAAGGGCGTTTCGGTATGAGCGCTTTCCGGGAGTTGGAGGTCCAAGGGAGAAGATGCATAGGGAGATTGGGGCGCGGGGAGGGGCTGGGTTACAGAGATGACATGAGGGTTTACTGCGATTATAAAGGGTGCCCATGGGATAATGGGTGGGAAAAGGTGTTACGGTTTTTGTTTGGTCTATGACGAGGCGTTGATGGTACGGAGTGCTTATATGGTCAATGTAATGGGATATTCTGCCTGTCTACCATGCTTCGATACGATAGGATTTGATCTGAATGCGGTCAATACCGCTGCTGGGACTCCTGCAACAGCACCTGCAAAGCGCCTACTACTTGCCAATAGCAAGAAACAAGCGGTCTCCGATGTCCCCCACCCCAGGCACAATCATCCCTCGCTCATCGCACTGCTCGTCGACGGCGCCCACCCACAGCTCCACGCCCTCGGGCCAGCACTCGGCCGCCCGACGAAGCCCCGGTTTCGAACCAAGAACGCTGAGCATGATCACGCGCTGCACGCCCCATTCGCGGAGGAGCTGGATGGCCGCCTCGGCCGTGGCGCCGGTCGCGATGATGGGGTCGAGCAGAATGGCGAGGGTGGCGGCGGTGGAATTGGTGGGGGAGTCGGGGCGCAGAAAGGGGAGGTTATTATAGTATTCGACTGGTTGGAGGGTGAACTTGTCGCGGAAGAGGCCGAGGTGGTAGATGGGGACGGTGGTGGGGAGAAGGTTGTTGATAGCTTGAGCACGGTTCAGCAGTAGTTCGAAGTACATCCAAGGACAAGAGAAAACATAGGGATACCCTCAATCATGCCCAATCCTGATCGGAGAATAGGCACCAAGGCCACGTTGGCTGGGTCAATTGTCTGCGTCTCATACTCAAGGCCCAGCGGGGTTTTGTCCTGTGGTAGGGAGTCAGATTAGATGGTTTTGCGGTATTGGAGCTCCTGATCAGGAAGAATAACCACCTTTGCACCACTGGCAACCTGCAACCCGGCAGCAAATGCTTCCACACCTAGAATGGTTGCAATATCATGCACCAGACCGCGAGTCTCGCGAGGAGAGGTGGAATGCGACCGGAGCTGGGAGAGTTTGACCTGGAGGCAGGGATGGGAGGAAACATGGATATTGGATGGGAGCGCCATCTTAGATTCGAATGATAGTTACTGCAGGACGTAAAAATGAAGCAGATAAAGAAGATGGATTCGAGGAAGGGATGAAGAGGGGATAGAGAGGGGCTGATGAGTTGTATCGCTGCAGGTGTCTTGGATGAGCTGCAGTTAAGCATGCCGCAGGAAGAAACAGCTGCCTACCTCCCTTCATCCACTCCTCTTCATCTCTCCTTCATGCCTCGTTATCTCTTCTTCTCTATAGCGTATATCTCTGTTGACATGCCAATGATATGGATCAATGACATCCTCGGGTCTTATCAGACATCTCCATGGGGAATCTCTGTCTCTGATAACAACAGACCCACCCTCTCTTTGCACCTCCGTCACCAGTCTCCGGTTCTCTTGGCATTCGACGTACTCGAGAAGAGCTTGAAAAAGCGTCCTCCTCATGCAGCAATCGTCCGAAAACCAGCCTGCTGGTCTCTCTGAAAGTACTGCCCCGCCTCCTACACCCTCAGATCCTCCTCAGCGTCAGTCCTGGTTCTCCACCGGCTACGCGCTGCCTCCTACCACCGAAAATTCTGCCTCGGCTCCCATCGAGCCTACACCCGCAAAGCGCACTCCCACCACACAACCGCTCTCCAAACATGCCACTCACCTCTTCACGCTTTCATACCTCGTCTTCTTCTCCATCTTCGGCACCCTGGCCCGGCTGGGCCTGCAAGCGCTCACCTTCTATCCCGGCGCGCCTGTCGTAACCGGCGTCCTATGGCCCAACGTCGGCGGCTCCCTCCTGATGGGCTTCTTCCTTGAAGACAAGAATCTCTTCCGCGAAGAATGGGGTCAACCTCCCCCTCATAGCCCCAGCGAAGATAGCGACGCTGCGCGCCAATGCGCGCAGAACCATAAATCGGTCAAGAAGACCATCCCACTCTACATCGGCCTCACCACCGGCTTCTGCGGCAGCTTCACCTCCTTCTCCTCCTTCATCCGCGACGTCTTCCTCGCCCTCACAAACGACCTTCCCAACCCCTCCATCTCATCAATCACCCCCCGCAATGGCGGCTACAGCTTCATGGCCCTCCTCGCCGTCCTCCTCACCACCGTCGCCCTCAGCCTCTCAGCACTCATCTGCGGCGCCCACCTCGCCCTCGCCCTCGACCGCTTCACCCTTTCCTTCCCTTTCCGCCTCACCCGCCGCGTCCTCGACCCGCTCTTCGTCTTGCTGGGCTGGGGCTGCTGGCTCGGCGCCGTCTTCCTAGCCATCTGGCCACCGGATCGCTCCGACAGCAACAACGCTCCAGACACCTGGCGCGGGCGCGCCGTTTTCGCTATCATCTTCGCCCCGCTCGGCTGTCTCCTGCGATACTATCTTTCGCTACACCTCAACCCGCGCGTGCCCTCGTTCCCGCTGGGGACTTTCACCGTGAATATTTTCGGCACGGTCGTGCTAGCCATGTGCTTTGATCTGCAGCGGGTGGATGGGGTCGGGACGGCAATCGGGGTGGATGCGCGCTCGGCGCCGTATGCGGTTCTCACGAGTTGTCAGGTGCTCCAGGGCGTCATGGACGGCTTTTGTGGCTGCGCGACGACGGTGAGTACCTGGGTGGCGGAGCTGAATGGGCTGAGTAGACGGCGACAGGCGTATCTGTATGGTGTCGGAAGCGTCGCCGTGGCACTGGGCTTTTTCGTAGTAATCGTGGGCTCGCTCGGTTGGACTCGGGGGTTTGTCGACCCCGTTTGTACATAATTAAACCACCGGTGGCTCTTTTGTATATATTCACTCAGATCTTCTCTGTATATTTAATCAAGACTATGGATTCTTACGATAGATAGGGCTTCTACGCAGACTCAAGGGTATCCCCGCTAAACGATGTATTTTTGCACGGAAATTACTTATAGTACAGGGTACTACGACGATAGAGCATGTCCAAGGTCAAGGAAGACAACAAACGCATAAACATTAACGCAGGCAGAAAGCCAAAATGCACAAACGCAAACATGCGGGCGCAGAAATGAAGAACGACTCGACATAGAGAGGAGAGACGCGAAAAGACATTAACAATGCTGCGGGGACGGCGTAAACACATAACGATTCAGAACGATTCTAACTCAGCACAGGCATTAAAATTCAAAAAAAAAAAAAAAAAAAAAAAAAAAAAAAAAGGGTGGGCAAAGAATAGAAAGTTATAATAATCAATAGTGGTCGAAGGAGTGACCTGAAGAGAAAGTCGAGAATAAAAAGGCGGCCAATGAAGTATATAACGAACAAGGTATCAATATGGTCCAGGGACAAATCAAAGCGGCAGATTGACCACAAACATGCTGATGCGCACTAGGAATTAAGGGTTCTTCGAAACGAAAATGTCGAAAACAACAACTCCACCGAGTGCTAAGAGGGAGAACACACAGGACCAGCCGGGTGTCGAGATGTTGCCTGGGACAAACAACCCATGAAAACAAAAAGCAAATAAGGACCACACCGGACTCCTGTGAGCTCTTGCCAAAACCAACAGGATGAACCATGATAAATGCAAGAGAAAGACACTTCAACTGAGGAGAAGAGCAAGAGCAAACCAAAATCGGAAAAACACAAAAACAACAGAGTAGTATATCAGTCGGGAATCACCAGCAAGGAGCATTATGCGGCAGTTCAGATCATCGTATTCCGTCGTTGAAGAACACACGTTGCCGCCCACCTGCTGCGAATTCATTCCCGACCCCGAGTTCCCCGAAATTCAGCCAGTATCCAAATCGATGTAGAATGAGTGCCCAGTAATGAGAGTATACGCAAAAAAAGACGAAGAATGCAGAAAGGAAATGAGGACCACAATATGTAAGGTATACTGCCGGTACACTGAATGGTCCAAATGCCTACTGTCGAGACTAATAGGCGGTCCCGACACTTGCAAGTGTCTTAGTTGGCATTGGGTGAATCGGTTGATCCTTGGCAACGCGCAACGAGTCTTCATAGCCGATCAAGGCTTGAGCATGAAGTTTGAACGATTCGCCCATGAGCTTGGTGATCCTAAAACAGAAAACGACATTAGCAATCAACTCTTGACATCCCTCGAATAGAGAACAACTTACCCCAGACTACCACGCCGTCCAGGATGTTACCCCATACACGGGCCACGGTAGAGCTGAGTTTACCAAAAGCGTCAACGGCGTCGTCGTCAAACAGATTCCGGACCTTGTTGTAGATGGCCAGCTCAGCCTCGGTCGCGGGCTCTTCGTCATGTTCCAGGCGATAGAGCCAGAGACTGAGGATGACCATCAGATCCAAGCCGCAGAGCGGATGCTCGACACTCCAATTTGTTGCCGACGTCTTGGCAACCCAATTGATGCCTTGGACTGCTGCAATCTCGATGCACTCGAAACATGACTGGATCACTTTGTTCATCTCGCCAGACCGCTTCACCTTCTCACGGGCCACTGTCATCGCAGCAGCAACCTCGTAGGAAGAATGGTAGCGCAAGGCTTCCTGGATTGACTTGAGGTCAACCTCTAGGCGAGCACGCGTGTTGCGATAGACAGCCATTGAGTTGAAGATCAATGGATGTCCGTTCTGAGGCGTGCTCAAAGGTACGACGATCGTCTCTGGTTCGCAAACTTCCAGAGAACTCTCCCATGTCTCCAGCGCAAGGCGAAGCTTGTACTCAGTGACCACGTCCTGAAGAGCCTCAAAGGTCCTCTTGTGGTTCCACACCTGTAAGAAAAGGGCATTGATCAAGACCCGAGTGGCAAAGGCACTGTAACGCGTCTGTTCGCCCTGGAAAAGACAGTCGTGAGCTTCCCGGACGGTAAGTGTGCTCGCAGAGGACAGGCTACGACGCCAGGCCTCGTCGTCATCGACGTCCAGGTTCCACATCGATTCAGAGGACGGCAGCTCCAGGTTGTCGAATTCGTCGAAGCTCATTGCTGGGGTGTGGTTGAATGTCAGAGTGAGCATGCCGAAGAAGATGTAGACGGCGTAGTAAGTCCGACGGCAGGAC